GTTTACCTGTCCCTTTTTAACATAACTTTAAAATTGTTATTTACTGGGGAAGCTAGGAAGTATTTGTTATGTGTCATTGCAGTGGGATTCTCATTTCAAAAATAACCCAAATAGGCATGTATAGCATGCCTACACTGCATAAACATTTATTTAAGATGGAATTCAATTCAAGGAGTTTGAGTTTTATACCATTCCTTTAAATTATGGTTGGATTTGCAGACAAGACTGATGCTGTGTTTCATTTTCATTCTGGGTGGTGAGAAGAGTTAAAATGTATGAACCTTTACACCTGCTATTGGAAACAAAATGTATGATTGAGGATATGGTTTACTGATCTTGTATGCTAGAGCTCTTCATTTTATCATCTTGCTTAAATATCAACTAAACAAGAATTCAGGGTGGGGTTGGGTTTTGTTTGGGGATTTTTTTAATTTTTTTTTTTTTGGCAGCTTCTGTCGTGCTGTAAAGAGGAGCATGGAAAACTACAATTACTGTTCTACATTCCTGAAGTTTTAGTCCATTATTTTGTCAGAAGTATAATAAACATGAAAACAAGTTTCCTTTTCCCAGAGCTGCCTTGCAGCAGAATTAGCTTTTGCCACAAAACCTGCAGATAATACACTGTAAAATTTTGCCACATGTACAAATCATTCGTCAGTGTGCACTTGCTTAGTGGATGACTGATGCTGATGGAATGTAGATAGGCTACTTAGCAGAGTTTACAAGCTGCAGACTAGCATATCCATCTCTACTGGTTTCAGAAAAATTCTGTCTCCAGCAGCTTGATAAATATTTTCCTGAACTTCCAAGAATTGTTAATATCTAGGTTTAAATGAGTAACATAATTCATAATTCCATAAACAGTGTGCATGATGGGAGCCTTGGTCTTGAGATAGCGTGAGCTCATCGGAAGTAAGGTTTGGTTGCTTTGTTGCTATTTTTTAATCTGCTTTTAACATTAATATTAAACATTGATAAATATTTAAGAATTTGAAACAGATTACAGGAAAATTGCCTGAGAGGAAGTATGCCAAGGAGGACCTTAAGTGTTGTGTACTTATTACATGCATTTATAGAATGAGACTTGGGAGTTTTACTTAGCATGAAATTTGGTAAACATAGATCTTCAGATTAATGTTCATGTTGTTGGCGCTTGTACTAGTAAACAGAAGCACACTGTGTAATCCTTTGATATGTTTTAGATATATTAGGTCCCTGTAACTTTCATTATTAGTGTTCATTATGTATGTTAACCACTAGGGCAGATTTCAGAACTGGATGATGCGTTTGTTTTGCTTAAACCTGATGTAGTACAGATAATGTCTGTACTCTCGGCTCTTCTGAAGTCAGCTCCCACCACTACCCCTCGGAAAAATATCTCAATTGTCATCCTGCTTTTCCCACTGGAGAAAAATAAACCAGTTCAGGGTGCAGAAGAGACCGACATGGGTCTCTGACTTGATGTCCTTTGCAGCTCATTTGTCCTACTTCCCTCTATGGAGGCTCTCTACCCTTCAGAAGCGCTGCAGCGTTAGGATTGATGTATATTCTAGCACAGCTCCAAAAAAGTTGAGTCCTCCACTTGATAAGTCATGTAAAAAAACTGATTTTGGCGTGCGTTTATCAGAAGGGAATTTCCCATTCATAATTCGAGAGCGTTTGCTTGTCAGCATGGAGACACATCCGATGCCTTCGGGTGGAGTGTGTTTAAGGGGATTAGAAGATGGGCTCCTCTTCTACCTGCTGGAGACAGCCCTCTTCAAGGAGACTCTGCAGACAGGCTTGACCTTTTAACAGTGTTCCTTGTCTTAGTGGGAATGTCAGCCAGGAATAACTGGTTTGATGCCTCCTGGATGTCACTGTTATCAGTTCAATAGCTAAAAGAGGCTGTCTTGAGCAGCCACGTCATATTTATAACTGCCTTACTCAGCTGTTGCAGAAGAGAAAGCCCTTTAACTAGGGCACAGACCAGGGAGCGGCTGCGCAGCCATGCGAGGCTCCGGTGGGCCCGCCCCGCGGGGGCTGCATGGTGCTGGATAGGGGTCCTGGTGCATGCGGGGCTTCCAGAGCGAACAAACCAGTTGCCGTCACACATCGCTTCTCAACTTAAAAATAAAATTTCATCCTTTTTTATCAACTTTTTTATTTAAAACCTTTGTATTTTCCATCTCATGGACTTCAGGTTAATCTTAGGAAATTTTCTCTTTTGCTTTTGTATTTTGTTTGTAGTAACACAACATAAAAATTATGATTAGGTCATTAACCAGAAAAAAACCTGGTGCTCATCTGCAGGTGATCAGATGACATCAGAGGCCTGGTTTTAATTTGTGGGTAGTTCTGATTGTAACTAAAAGAGGCTTGCTCCTTTTGTGGAATTGGCTGGCCATTTCCCCACATCTGGAGTTAATGAAGTCTTTGAGACCACATCAGTTGTGTTTTGCCGCAAGAACCCTTTGATCTGAAAAATCTAGACTGGCACAAGTGCAGCTTCATAACATTGCAGCTATGTTTTTGCAAGCTATAGTTAAGATACCAAAACAAGCAGAAACTATATAAAGTTATGTGTCTGTGCTAGGACTTTCATGTAGCTGTTTGGAAGGGCCTCTTTTACATTAATATAATTCATAACATTTTTATGATGTTAATGGCTTGTACATATGTACCTGTAAATGATACATTTGTAGGAGCTTTTCGGTTTTGAGATAGTGTTTAATCAGTTTTTATAAATCACCCAATTATGTAAAATGTAAAAATTTCAGTCTGAATCTTGAATTTACAAATCTCATTGATAATGTTACAGTTTAAAAGAAGTGTAATTCGTCATTGTAGGTGATTTTTCATTAATCAGTGTACATCTCCATGGCAGTGCTAAATGTCATAAAGCTTTGTTTCCACTGCTGGCCTGTGACAGTGATAGATTATCCATCAGCTATAGCATATGCTGTGTTATTCTGCACAACAGAGAACTTGTAAATTAAGCCAAATTTTGCCTAATACGCTTGCAATCTTACGAGTGCGAGTATTTACAATTTGACAGAGTGACATTTCTGTTAAAATATGTCTGAGGCATGGAATATACATGCATTCATCATATATAGTAAATACATATGTACTGTTAACATTGCTTATAACGTATTGTCATTCTGTCACTCAGGTTTGGTATGCTGCTCTATTTTACATTTATTCCATAAACTGAAAATTTGCAAGTAAAATATTGAACAAAAGCTCCCCGAAAGGCTTTCTTTCCTAAAAGTTTTTAATTTATTTTGATAAAAAAATAATATTAAAACGAGCATGCAACTAAAACTTGTAAGTTGACTCCTTTTTATCAGGTGTCTTTTTACCTGCTGCCGTTTTCATTACATGGCTCGTATCGCCAGCTCTGCCCTGGCTTAATTCCTTGTGCCCTTGTCCTGATTCCATCAGACTGTAGTTTGATAGGTTTTATTGAAATTCTGTTGATGTAAAACGAGTCTAAGAGAGTGGTAAATCAGTCCCTCTGATATAAAAGAGTGCTGTCTGCAGGCACATGCCCAGCCATTTGGTCTGACAGCAGCCGGCTAGAAAAGCGTTTGGGAGTGGGGAGGAGGGGTATTGGTATGCAAATAGCAGCGGGACTTGCCCACTTCACTTTCCAGATATCCCTATCAGAGCGGTCACCCCCGGGGAGAACAATGGCTCTCTTTGAGGGAACTCTGGCTTTTTTGTTGGCGGCTTGGTTTCCCTGGCCCTTCTCTTGCTTGGTAAACAGCATCCCAGATAGACAAGGGAGAGATGTGAATGTTGTAGAACCGTGCGTGTGCCTGTATTTGCATAGGAAGGGATGGACACATTCACTTTTGAATTTTAAGGCATAGTACACTTTGTAAGTTGTGAGCTTTAAAGTTTTAAAATTATTCTTGATATATGCATTTATGAAGCCTTATGTATTTACAAGTAAGGTGAACAATTGAAAAATAAAAATACCACATATTTAATTTGTGGCAAAAAAAGATGCTCTGGTTTCAATGTTACATTTTTATATTCTTTGCTGCTGAATTTAATTTCTCCTCCCCCCGCCTTTTTGGGGGGTTTTTTTGTTTGTTTTTCAAAGTTTATTTTAACACACACTCGTTGTAGGGCAATATTCAGTATAATGACCAAAATACTGGTATGAAGAAATAGCATCGCTTAGAACAACTGATGTTATGGGTAGAGTCCTTGAGTCTGTGAATACTAGCTTTGTTAATTTGACTTATTCCTGAATGTTCTTTGTATTTCTTCTTAGTCGCTGCAGTGAAAGACTTCAAATTACTATGGTTATTTGGCATCTTACAATTTTTAACTCATTAAGAAAATCAGTTGTTTGCAGTTTGAGAATGGTCATTCCAATGCAGTGTTACACTGAAAAAATAATTATGCTGGTTTTCTTTAATGCTAAGCCTGTGTGAAAATAATTTGCTTGATGCTGCAGTTTTAAGATTATTCCTTAGGACTTAACGTATTTTTTTTAAGACTATACAAAGGCGTGCAAGTTCTGAATGGATGAGACAATGGTTGCATTAAAATCTTTCCATTTGTCACTGGATGTTCTTTTTCTTTCTGATTGTTGGGATGCCAGCTAATTAAATATTCAAACAGGCATACAGTTGTTTTAAAATAAAATTTGTTTGAGGCCCAGTTGTTTTATCTTGGGTTTTTTTTTTTTAATATTGAGCAACAAGTCTGTGCAAGTCATGCACTTAGAAAGCAAAATCAGCATTCAAGCTTTTATCAGGCCACCTGGCTGAGTTGGCACACCAGAAAGTGTGTTGTTAGGATCATTCTCCTGTAGTTCCTCTGTACTGTGGCAACTTGCTAAAAAGCAAATAAAACAAGGGCAACAAATGCTGCAGCTTGCTACACTGTTCTTTTTTTATTTGTGCTTTCTATCTGTGTCTGTATGCTGTTATGGGTTTTTTTAATGCATGGCACCCAACTATTACCAACCTGCTTTTATTGCTCTCCAATATTTAGGTGTATGCACCATCCCCGAGTTCTGATGATTTCAACAGAGAATCTCCAAGTTACCCGTCTCCTAAGCCACCAAGCAGTATGTTTGCTAGCACTTTCTTTATGCAAGGTAGGTAAAATGACTTTAAATATATGGGTAGGTGTCACTTGTCCCTTAGGGAGGAATCTACAGTCAGCCACCATTGTACTGAATGCATGAGGAAGCGTAAAGGTAACATATTGTGCGAGAGCCTATGATTTTTATATACTTTTAAAACAGTTAGATGAAGGGAGCTGTCTGCTGATTTAAAGTTTTTCTCATGACATTAATTGCTGACTGAAATTTAAGGGGATTATACACCAGGCCAGATGGACAGAATCCCCCATCCTTTGATTTGTAGGGGCTTCAGAACAGCACACTGGAGTGATAGAGAAAAATGAGGTGAGGGCTTCTTGACTGTTCTGGAATTTAACTGTACAATATCAGCTAACAGTCTTAAGTTCTCAAAAGCTTGTATATCCAGGATGCCAAAAAAAGGGGGAGTTGCATTGAACAAAACGAGAGCAGAATTCATTTCCTTGGCCTCACGTCACACGATTAGCTTGTACTGTAGTCTGATGAGGTTTTGGAGCATATTGAAAGCGTAGTCTCTCGGTACAGGAATTTACAGAGCACTTCAGTTGGTGCTACAGAAGGAAAACTACATTGACACACAGGTTTTAGGCTTATGTAATGTCATTTCGGTTACTTAAATCTGCTATTATGAAATGGTTTTATATTCTTATGGAACTAAGATATTTTAGACTATAAATTCCTTATTTTAGGTTAATAGATGTTTTGCACTGTATGTTTATGATGATCTCCGCTTAGCCAAACTTCTCTCCTTTCCACTCCCTTTTTTCATTATTTCTTTCAGTCTGGAATTTTTATCAACCCTTTTGATATAAATCTGGCCTTACTGAAGGTCTGTGGAATTAGCAGAAGTACTTGGTATTTTCTCAGCTGTGGTTGGTTTGTGTTTCAGCTATAAAGCCTGTGTTGTTTTTTTGCTTTTTTTTAATATATATAGCAACAGTGTGGTGGCATGAAGACAGAAGATGCAGTATAAACTGATCACCATTTCCCTGCTGATGTTAATCTGAATAGCTGAATTCTGTGTTCTTTTAATAAATTTTGTAAATAAAAGTAGAACTCGGTACTCTTCTTCATTAAATGTATTTTTCTTATTTTCCTTTTTATTAAAAAAAAATAAATAAAGATGGGACCCACAATTCTTCTGACCTCTGGAGTTCATCCAATGGCATGAGCCAGCCTGGCTATGGTGGGATGCTGGGAGGCTCCTCTTCCCACATGTCCCAGTCCAGCAGTTACGGCAGCCTGCACACACATGACCGTTTGGTAAGATATGCAGCGCAGATTTATGTATTTGAACTTGTATATGGAGAGCTGACTTAAAAGAATTCCTTTCTTGTTTGCTGCTCATGTATGTTAGTTAAAAACGCAGTTGTCAGAAATCACAAACTTAACAGATTAATGTCCTTTTATTTATGTCTGTTATATAAGTAAAAATCTGTAGCTGTATAGTGGTCTGTTCAGAAGATGTACGAGTCCCTTTAATAAAAAAGCTTGGCGTTGTATATTTGGTATCTTAAATTATCAACATTTATTTAAAGACTATTTAATGTCTTATGTCTGTTTCTCTTCTCTTTAGAGCTATCCCCCACATTCAGTCTCACCTACGGATATAAATGCCAGTCTTCCTCCAATGTCTAGCTTCCATCGTGGCAGTACCAGCAGTTCACCTTATGTAGCTGCCTCACATACTCCACCTGTCAATGGATCAGACAATATTCTGGGTAAAAAAGTTCTTCCTGCTTTTTTTTTAATTTTACAAGAAAATGACATTTACGACTGCATGACGCACAAAATTAGTAAGATTTAATTTATGGGATGGTTGTAGATCAGGGATGCCGTACCACTGTGACATTTCTGTCCTCAGTATGACTGAGATTTTGCAGTCAGCCTAAGGCTCACGGGTTTATTTGCTTCCACAGACAAGCCTATGATCAGGAGATTGTGTCTGTCTAACTTAAGGGCAATTATCCTTCCGTAGTTTATGTGCATATTTGTATAGCTAGTTCTGGTGTTGCAGTTTTCAGAGCTGCTATATCACCAAGGTACTGTGCTGGAGAAAGGCAGGAAGACTGGGGAGCTTGATAAACTGCATCGTAAATTCCTCTCTTAACTGATACAGAGATTATTGAGTAGCCAGTGTGGTAGCCGGTTTAGTCTCTTTTGTGCTTACCTAGAAAGCCTGAAATATAGGATGATCATCTGTTCCTTGCACGTACTTGTGCATCTTAAGATACAGATGTAGAAGTTAAATGCTTGTAGATGCCCCTTGTCAGTTCGATATGATTTGCACTTAGTTTAATTTTAAGTAAATGATATTTAGTTAGAGTGACTATATTTGCTTTGATTCGGGAGTATCTTTTACACTCAGATCTTTAAACAGAACCCAGTTAACGAATCTGCATGGGAAATTCAGACTGGAAAATCCAAGTTTGCCACAAATTTGAAACAGCAAGTGTTGCATGATTTGGATTTTTGATGTGAATGGCTTATGTTCACGTTAAATACTTTTTTTTTTTTTTTGGCAGTAGAAGTTGATCATTAGAGAAAGGAAATTCACTTTTAAAGGGTCGTCTTCTACAATAAAGCAGATATTTCAGAGGACTCAGGTCCTTTCAGTGTTTCCAGTTGGCAGGGCTTCAGACCTCCTCTTGGCTTGATGGTGTGTGGAGCGAAAAGGGCACGCAAAGTTCCTGACATGCAACTAGGAGCAGGGTGACAGAAAGCTTGGTGGATAAGAGCTTTTCAGGGATTTTCTAAAATAAAGATGAGAGTACAACATGAGGAATTAGAGCAGGAGGAGCAAGGAGACACACAATGAAATATTCAGTGAATTTAGCTTTAAGAATTAATTAAATGTGCAGCACTTCAGTGATAACAGTTTAGAAATAAGCTGCAATAATATAATTTTCTGATTTTGATTTTCTTTTCACGTTTCATTAAAATTAGTCTGTGATCCTAGAAAATAATTTGTTTTTTTTTCTAAATGCTTTCACTTGTTGGTCCTTAAGTTATCACAGTGATACCATGTTTGACTTCAAAGAGGAGAGCATCTAAATTTAAATCTTAATTGTTTTAATTCAATTCTTAAGTATAATTAGAACTGATTCTGTTGACACTGACTTCCTCAGAATATCCTTTTAAAAAGTGGTTGCTCACCTATACATGATGAATAAAATAACAAAACTGAATAAAATTTCAGCTTTAAAAATAAAAGTGTTGGCTTTGCTTTCCCCATCACAGGAAACAGAGGAAATGGTGCTGGAAGCTCACAGACAGGTGATGCACTTGGAAAAGCATTGGCATCTGTAAGTAGCAGTTAGAATATTCAGATCTAGAAGATGTATTTTGATCATTGCATCCATTATTTAGGTGTTAATTCTTTTTATAATATGAAATCAGGAGTTTGCATGTATGAAGTTAAAATAATGTACTATGGTACAATGTCTAGGCAAATGTCTATAAAAAAGCAAGTGGAAAATACCTTTATTTGTAGAAGAGTCATTCTGACTTCCTTTTTTTCAGGTGATTGAAAAATTTAGGGCAGATACAGTTTAGAAAGTTGTTTAGATAAAGTAAAAGATAATTATAAAAAGCTTAACGGTTTGATTTTTTTTTTCCCCCTGTAGTATTCTAGTTAAAGTCAAATATTTTTAACATTACTCTTAGAGCAGATCCTGCCTCGAGTTTTAACATGTTTTCTCAGTGGCCTTATAAAACTGAGAGGTTTTGAATGCTGGGTTGTGTAGCTATAATTTATGGAACAGCCTTTAAAACGCTGTATATGCATAAAGTTTAAACTCTTAACTCTTGTTGGAATAATGTAGGTAATGTAAAGCATTGCAAGTATCTGTAGTCTGCTAAAAGCTCTGTTTTCATATGCATGCATACAGCAGTTACTTTTGCATCAATACAATCAGATGTACTTTTTATAAAACAGTGATTGGTACAGTATAGAAGAAATTTTGGAGTTAGAAGTGGTGGCTGGGTGAGCACAGTTCTTGTGTGTAGCAAGTAGGGAGACTGTCTGATTTAAAAGATAGAAATGACTACTTTGCAGCCCCAGAAGACCATTCCTGGGTTGGATTCTGCATCCCGCACCTCATACCAGTGAATGCAAATGTGCATATTGGTGCAGATCCTGTTACCCTTGCATCCCTCAGAGGGTCATATGTTAAAAGATTACCAGATCTGATAATGTCTGTAATGTCCATATTGGGTAGGAGAACTCTGACCTACTGACTTTGAGGAGGAAAATGTTGTCCCTGTTGCTTTTGGGGATTCAGCAAGTAGATAACAATTCACTGAGTCCAGAGGGCAGTTAACACTCTCTTTTTGTCTGAGACCTGTCAGAAGAGAACTGGAATCATTTTGACTCCTAGAAATACCAGTGCTTACATCAGGCTGTTCATTACTCTGCAGATGTATTGGGATGTCTGCTGTTCTGCAGCCTAACCAGAATTTCTGTTGTAACTCTTGACATGCTGGCCGGTTAGACCTGTGGGACTTAGTGACGTTTTCCACTGCTCTCCTTTTCAAAATTATTTTCTCATCCTTTCAGGTATTTTTGCCCAAGTCACTAGCTGAGAAAACCAGGCTGATGTTTTGAGGAAAAAATTCTAAATATATTGCGAGTGGAAGTCAGGGCAGAAATGTTTAATCTAACTGGTGGGTGGGCTCTGGTTGTCATAGAAACTTGTTTCTGTCATCCCGTGTTGTTGCTTGGCAGGAGCAGCCAGGTCATTCCATAAATCATTTCTGTCATAGCTGATGGTGATGCATTCCATCTGCTCTATCAGTGCATGCCATAGTCTGCACACTTCAAATCCCTCGCCTCATCCATCTGCTTCCCCCGCAACACGCGCGCACCCAGCACGCTGCTTGCGCTTGTTCGGCAAGGAGCACTGCTCACGGTTGTGGAGAGGAGGGAGGTGGTCTCTCCTGCAGGTGAAGGTAGCGCACGTGAATTTTGATGGCTAGTAAACCAAGAATGTTTTTCTGTTTGAAGAAAGTTTCATTTAAATGCTGCCATTGTCTTGACTTTTTTTTTCCCCCCTAAGACAGCGCTATATGCCTTTCTGTTGGGATTTTAAATGCTAGCACTGCAACTGTTGAGAGGAATTTCTAGTCCTAAAATTCTGTTGATGTACATCTCACAATAGGCCTTTCATGTGCAAAACATCAGAGGATACGACATTTGTTCTTCAGTTTAGGTATTAAAGACCATACAGAATAGTATGTGATTAAACATGTAAGGCCAGATAATACATTTGCAAAGGTTCTTTTATTTTAGGTTTAAGCCTGGATAATTGTGGTCTTAATCTCAGGGTAGGCAAGAAAGAGAATTGTACATGAAAGTATTTACACAAAGTTCCCAAAGCCCTGTGGATTATGCATTAGTTTGGATAATGAACTGGTACAGATAGAAAGAAAAGAAAATCTGGGTATTCGTGCCATTTCTAATGTGTTTCCCTGAACATTTGCCAAACAATAACCCTTTAAGATTGTGCCCATGGAGGGTTATATGGCAGGAGAAACATCTGGTTTATTTCATTGCCTAATGCCAAATCAAAACACTTGGTCTTTAATTTAGAGGAGATCAAACAGGAGGACTGTTTAACTTTGTTGATTATATCAGACCTCTTTGTGATAACTTATGTTTTGATTCCTACCTCAGAACTAGGGTAAAGGCCTTTGTACCGTCTCGGTAGTTAAATAGCCACTGGTCCCCTCACAAAAGAAAAGAAAATGTAGGGAAGTTGACTTCTAAAAGTAATTCATGAATTAAGTTTCTTTGTTGCTTTAGACTCAATAACATTAACATAACAAAGCCTAACTGAAATGTACACTGTAGTGTTTAAAAAATTGGACTAACAGCTCCGAGGTTTGGCTCTGCAGGCTCTCAATTGTGCAGCTTTTGTCTAAGAGCCTTTTCATTAGACCCTGGCATATTGGCACCCCGCTGATTGGAATGGACCATGACTGATAGGAGGAGGGGTCTCATTTGTTGCAGTAAAATGAGTCATGTTACCGTTTAAGCCTGGCAGAAGGTGTCAGGGTTGTTCATCATTGGTCATTTAACAGCACAGTGGCCAGGGACTGCATGCAGAATGAGTTCTGACCTCGTGTTTTAGTTGTAGCTTTGGTACAACATAGGTTTTCCATCATAGAAAATATAGCAAAGTAAAATCTGCAGGTAGAGCAGTGGGGAAAAAAAAAAACAATTTCAAAGGAAACTTCAAGGCCTTTGTTCTGACAGAATTTTAATTTTAATCTTATCTGTCTGGAACTCTCTACACTTCCCATACTGACACCCAAGATTTATTTTTATACTGATGTACAATGCATTCATTTTCTACAATGGTCTGAGGTAGTTTGTTCTTTTAAATATATTTTCTTTCTATCATATATGAAAAGGAGAAGGTATTTCCACTAAGAAACTGATGACCAGGATAGACCAGGAAGGAGCATGTGGTCTGTCAGGTCCTGGTTTTGTCAGTTCGGAAAACACAATATGCAACTTAAGCAAGTCCCAGTTTATAGTTAGCTAAATGCTGAAATGTCGTATTGTCTGTGTGAAGAAACATCAAGTGTACTACCTGTGAAGATTTTTTAACTGCAGTCTGATGGCTGACAAATCCTGATCTCTGCTCAGGTAAAACAGATTTCAACCAGTGACCTATAAAAATATGTTCTAAAGACCATAGTCAGCCTCTAAACCTATTCAGTTCCTTTCACAAAATGAATTTTCTAAGAATATTCAAATTTTAAGTTTTAATTAAAGCTTTAAGCATTTTGTCTTCTGGTTTTATCACGACTTTTTAATTACTTTAATGGCAAGGAGTGAATTGTTCCAAGTTGAGGTTTAGTATCTCAAGGGGGAAATTGATAAAGAAGAGAGAAAAATTGTATATGCTGCAATACCTAGCAAGAGCAACAAAATTTCAGATGGTTTTCGTTTGGTCCATACCAACAGTAACCAGAGCTGAATGCTTTCTTAGTGTTCTCTTGTGAAGGATTAATTTTTAGAAGATAACACGTATTGACTGCTAAAATCTTTTCTCTCTCTAAAGTTTGGGAAGTCATCATTCCTCTGCATTTTCCTAAAGTTTTGTTATAATTATCTGTGTACTGTTAACTCTTATGTATATTGTTCTTATTCAGTGATGAAAAGGCTATAATTTCTGCTGCTGTTAAAATAGAAGGAAGACCAGTTACACTTGTGCTGCTATCATATACAGGCTGTGCTTATTTTGACAGCTGCTTGAAAATGAAAGTTCTCTGGACATTTTTAGAGCCTTGACTGTAATAAAGCAGAGCCGTGATTGAAGGATCAAATTGAGGTTTTTTTAATCAGTCCAGCATCAAAAGTGACAATTAAAAGCATGAAAAGGAATCCTAATAGCTATTTTTTTACTCTGTATTATGACATGCATTGATATATAATCTCTTTTGTCTGTTGTTAGATTTATTCTCCTGATCATACCAGCAGTAGTTTTCCATCGAATCCATCAACACCAGTTGGGTCACCATCGCCTCTTACAGGTAGAGACTAGCCATTTGTCAATAACTTGTTTGCTGTTTTGAAAACATCCTGTTTGGAATCACAGTGAAATCAGCACTAGCTTCCTTGTGTAATTATTCCTGTATTTTGCTTATTTTTCCATTGTACAAACTCCAGATTTATAAATCCAGATTCTTAAATTTATTTTGTTATGAGCATTCACTTAAATCCTGGCAACTGGCTCTGAAAATTAGCTTATTAAAATAATCTTTGAAAACATCGAATGACTACATACTGTCACAGCTATAAAGATATCTGTATGGATCTGTACCACTGGAGAGAAATAAAGAGTGATTTGGTTGGTTGGTTTTTTTTAAAGCTATATGTTAAAAACTCTGTGTCAGCTTTCAGTGACAAACACAGCAGATGTGTGTTCCCTGTAATTAAAATACAGTAGGCTATGAGACTATCTGATTTTTACACAGGATAGCTTTTCATTCATATCTTTCATGAATGCTTTCATTCTATGGGAGAAGAATTTCTGGCATTTGTCAAAATGAATGCTCTGTATCGCAGCCACCTCTGTCACCTGTGCTTTGTGTGTTTGTAGTGTGAATGTGGGAAGAAGCATTCCAGTGTGGAGATGAACTGTGGGCAGCTGCCTACAGCTATTAGTGGGTAGTGCAGCTTTCACAGACACTGCGGCCTCAGCTGTCTAGTAAAAGTTGAACAGCTGTTCTCCATATAGAGAGAACTGTGAAAGCTCCATTGACTTAAATTTGTTGTTTAACAAAGAACAAGAATTACAAGCAAGATGATGTAACTTTAACCCTCTTCTTTCCCATAGTGCAATTTGTTAAATTATTTAACGTTTATACAACAGTCTGTTTTCCCATTCTCTGTTGTTTAGTATGTCCCTGCACACTCCTGGCCATCGGTGACTCTTTTGCCAGTGTTTTGCTTTTTATAAAAAAAATAAAATTAACTTACCATGAAAGGTATACAGAATGAGCTTAGCTGAACACTTTTGTAATCTAGATGAATAAATTAGTAAAGTTATTGCATACAAAATGCAACCATGTACGTATTTCTGTGAATCAATGTGTATCTATATATGCATTGTCACTAAGAAAACTTTCATCATTCATACTTCAGTCATGTTTGGTGGATGCTGTTCTGGTTTTCTGTGGTCTTAATGGATTAATTAATATCTGACATGGCATACCTGAGCAGCTGCTTAGGGCATTTTGTGTCTATAGCTGAAAACAACTTGTTGAATTGAGTAACAATGGGATTAATGGGATTTTTAATTTAGTCATTACAGTTGATAAAAAAATATTTTGTGTATCCTTGTACTGAAAAGCCAGATCAGACCAGAAAATTATTATTATTTTCTTTTTTAAGTTTAAAGCAAATATTGAAAATAGCTCTGTGGCTGGAAGAAATAAGTTCTGACATTTCCAAGTATTTGAATTTCTAAAGATCCCAATTGGTGTTCCCTGGTTAGATACCACACCTCGTTTTGTAAGCATGAAAGCAGTAGCTAATTTTTGGTTTTAGAATATAAATTTGAGGTCCCTAAAATTTGGGGTTTTTCTTTGCTGTCGATGCCTTTGTCTGTTGGAACCTGTATCAAATGTAAAGCTCTCTAAAATTTGCACTTTGATTTGTGTTCCTTGTTCTGCATTCTTATGGCTAAGACAGTAGTAGATACAAGCAAACTGAGGCGTAAACTTAGCATCTGCTTTACAATTATATAGTCCTACCCCACCTCCTTTAATTCCAGTGATACAGAATTTATCAAGCCTTTGGTAAATTGCTCCAGTAGTTAATTACCTTCATTTATGAATCTGGACTTTTATCTTTATTCCCAGATGAGTCACTAAGAACACAGTGAAGCACAATGTAAAGTAATTACTACTATATTTATTGCTATTTATACTCCTGGTAGTCATTTTCTGTCCTGACCCAAAAAGTTATTGCAGATAAAACAAATGTTTTATGTATACTAAAATAATATATTTTGGATCATTTTAGCCTTTATCGTGACTTTCCTCTTTTGTAGTTAGTTCTTTGTTTATTTAGCATTCTTTAAACTATTATAGATGTGACTAAGTCATAATTTACCTATCCTTTAATTGTAAATTACAGTAAGAGCGCTCTATATGCTATTTAAAACATTGAGAGAGAGTAGCTTCATGAGACATTCTAAGTATATAAGCTCATGTTTGACTCTTTGGATAATATGTTAAGGAATAAGGACTAACGACATTTTTTATGAATTTAAGTAAAAGCTTTGAGAACAGCATGATGAAAACTCAAAAGTATTATGAGACAACTGTGTGTGTCTCATCTTTCCTGCCCTCATTTAATCTCTGATTTTACATAAACATGCCCAGAGTTTAGCTGATTGCATCGTTTTAATGATTGTGTATATGTATGTAAAGTTTAGATAAGGATGTGAATGGTGGGAGCCTCGGTATTTTAAGAATCTTCCTCCCTGGGTCAGAGGTATTCAGAAGGGTTCATTTGGTTTTGAGGATGCAAACCCAGCCCTCTGCCAACTCCGGTGGAGTGTGTGTTTGAAAGGGGAGCCAGGGGATTAGTGTTGGGGAGACTCTGAGAGTAAGAACAATACTAGAGTGATTACTATCGATGACCCCTGTAAATCCTAACACTTGCCTGGATTATTTGTTTCTTCATGCTGCTATGTTGGTACTGTGCTAAAAGCTGCAGTTGTTAATTGCAGGGCTTGTGGTGCCAGGATGCTTTTTAACATAATTGGTGGATTTCATGCACAAACTTCTAAGAGGGGGAGTGGAATGAGGAAAGCAGGAAATCGGTGCCATCTGGCAACCTGCACAGACATGGAGGCAGTGTGCCACCGCTCAGAAAGAGCACCAGCGTTACTAGAGGTGTGATTAAAAACTGCAGGTTGCGGTTGTGGTGGCTGTCTGAGAGGAGAACGAATTGAGTGTTCTCTCCCTCCCTTTTCTTTCCTTTTCCTTTGTGAGAAGTCCCACTCAGAGTTTTGTTTTGGGCTAACATTAAGGAAATAGCACCTTTTTCCTTTTTTTTTTTTTTTTTTTTTAAAAAAAAACCCCAACAAAAAACATCCGAAACTCCTCAGACTGGATGCACAGATGTTGAGTCTATTTGCTTTCTTAACTGGTTGCTTTTCTGCTTAATATTAAGATGATGCTTTATTCTAGGAAGTAGTACACTCAATCCTGTTAGTAGTGAGCGCTCATTAAAGCCTTGGCTATGGTCTTGTCTCTAAAAATGGCGTTTTGACCAGAAAAAAATTTAAACATTACACTGAGCCAAAATATTCTAAAGTCATTTCATTAATGCTCTGCAAAGACAAGTAGGACTCCAAGCATTATTCCCAGGTCCAGGAGTGACAGTAATGTGGAGGGAGACTACAGATCCAGACCCAGAGTAGCTGTATGAAGTGAAAATTGGTAATGATAAACTTATTCACTGATGTTGTTATATGTTAAAAGAGAATTCCAGCACAGTTATGGCAGCTCTGGGCTTTTATGAAATTGGAGATGTTTGGGTTTTGTTGTTTTTAATTAGAAAAGAAATATTTAGGTATTTTAATAGCTATGCAAGCTGCACTCTTTTTGTTAAATAAAACCCTTTCTTTAAAAGGTAACTACTTGCAGCTCTCTGAACAAAGGAACTGTAATGTGATTAAACCTTTTCCCAGTTTTCCAGACGTACAGCTCTGGCTGTTATTGAAAGAACAAGCCCACGGGCTCTTCCTTTAATGAGCTGCTTTGGATTGTATGTCCATAATTTATTAATGTAATTGCTTTATTATTACATTTGTATGGCTGAAAGGAAGCTGTCTCTAATGGACATAGAATTTCATGTAGTATCTTTATAAAAGATGTGTTATTAGTTGGTGAGAAAAATGCATGTTGTACTACTTCAGACTTTGTTGTAAAAGTACTGCTTTGTTAGATACTGCAATTCACATCTAATTTTTTCTAAATTTTACATGGTGGTTAGGTATATTTATGTCAGATTAGAATGGATATATATTTGAATTTTCAGTGTAGAGGTAATATGGATATAATTGTCAATTTGTTTCACAGTCAACTATTCTTTAGCTGACAGTTTACCTTAAATGTATCTGAAATAACAAATGGGAATAACTTAGGTGTGTTTTTACTCTTCTAAACTTGGAATGCATTATAATCTAAAATGGTATATTGTAGAGCCAGGCAAGGTAAAGAAAGCTTTTAGATCTAGTTTTAAGTTTTCTTATTTAGTAGAGGGGTGTCATAAAAATGGTTTTCCAATTTTCCTTAATTCAGTGTCTGTTTAATTTCTTTAAATATTTTTGTTGTATATTTTAACACTATTAAAGATATCCCTACATATACTGAACATAATCTGAAGAAGAAAGAATTCAGCAGTCTTTTTATGGTGACACTGGAAGAAGGCAGGTATTTCGGATACAGTGTGTGTATATATTTAGTCCCCTTTTTAAATGTTGAAGTACTTTGAAGATGTCACTGCTTTGTCATTGATAATGTGCCTCACTCTACGGATGCCAGGATATAAAAATTATCCCTCAGTAAGGCATAATGAAGGAATTTGTCCTCTTTTGTATACCCATATGTTAGCTTACCTTTATGCAGAACATGTTGGTTTTAATTATGTTGAGAAGTACTGTGTCTCTGCTTCCCACTTATGCTGCATAAATCTGTGCACTAACGTAGACAATTTTGACAGGTGCCAGTCAGTGGTCTAGGAGTGGAGGACAAGCCCCCTCATCTCCAAACTATGAAAACTCTCTACACTCCTTGGTAAGAATTGTTGAAAGCAATATAGTACTTCTGACTTAAGAGTTGAAGACTTGGTTTTGTATAAATCCTGCATATCATTAAAGGAAACAGTAGGATAGCATTACAAATGAATTCTTTGCTAACAAATGGCCTGTTCAGTTGAACAATATAAGACGTGTAGGGTGTGTCTTTCACCATCTGTTCCTTGGGCATCAGGCTTCTGTGCTGAGGACAGCTGGTGCTAAAGCGCTGTTATGAGATTCTGGTACCTTTTCACAAATCCATAGCTAATTCTTATCTAAAGTTCAGTCTGGAGAAAAGATAAAGACTTCATGCCTTCGCATTTACTTCTCCTTCCCCCGCTCTCCCTGAAATGGTAGTCCCTTGGGCTTGTTTTCATTACACTGTCATTAAAGTATTAATATATTTTATTTGTAATTATAGGGGAATGTTAATTTATTAATTAATGAAACATTTAACAGAAGAACACACAGGAAGTAATCTACAGCACTGTAAATTTTCTTCTTTTGAAGATTCAGCAGAGAATTTAAGTTACTGACTTATTTCTTAGATCTCTGATACAGCAAGAAGGAAAGGGGAAAAATTTGAGGGAGGGTTTTGATAACCTGTTAATGTTTCTAGTTTCCACAGATGTAATTTCTTTTTTTCTGTCTAACGAGAATAAATTTAAGCTAAATCAGTTTTCTTCTCTTCAGTATTTTTGCAATTAAATATAATGGATATGTACATCGTAGAATCCTAACATAACTGCAGTGTTAAGTATTAGCCTTTCCTTATCTTAATATAATCAGATCTCTGTTGCATTAACTTGACTAACAATTTATTGCTGACATGCACATCAGCTGTTTCCTCACCTCTTTTTTGAATTAATCTTAACCTGTGCTTTGCTTCCTGTTCTGTCTTGACTTTGCCAGAAAAATCGAGTTGAACAGCAACTTCACGAGCATTTGCAAGATGCAATGTCCTTCTTAAAGGATGTCTGTGAGGTACTATTTCACTTTAGATGGTGCCTTTTTGTGTTTCAATTAATGCTTCCTTTGGATTCCCCATTCCGAACTTAAATTAGTGTAGCGTATGACCCATCTTTTGACTCCAACATTCTGCTGTTTCAGTTTCTAGAGAGCTGCAATGTCAGAATTAGTTTTGCTTTGGGGTTTTTTTGGTCCTTTTTTTTAAAGGAAAGTAATTTTAAGGCAGACTTTTCTGCAGTAACATACAGAACGTGCTTTTATTTCTGAAATACCTAATCTGTTTAAAGGTCCATTTTAGAAAATGATAACTTAAAGTTTTGTCCAGTTTTTTTGTAATACAGTTTCTCAAAAAACCATTGCCTCTTAATCATAACCAGCGTGGTGAGGCTGATTTTATGATCGCTCTTTCTCATCCTGTATTGGATAGCTTATTTTGTAGCACTTCCTTTTCTCTTGTTTATGCCATGAAATAGAAGCTGAGTACCATTAACCTTATAATAAGCTTCACTTTAAAAGCTGCCACCTATTTGTGGAATGAAAGCTATCTCAAGCAAAATCTCCAGATATCTTTTCTTTTTCCTGTTTGTTTGTAGTGCTGGTAGGTGCTTTCAGAGTCTTTTGATACCACATTTCATCTTCTATCTTTTAATGTCTCCGAGGTAGAAAATGTTACAGGATAATGAGTCTGCAGAGCTAGTCAGTAATGACTGTTACTGTCCCTCTTAAATCCCAACAGCAGTCTCGAATGGAGGATCGCTTGGACAGACTTGATGATGCCATTCATGTACTACGAAATCATGCTGTGGGGCCTTCAACAAGCCTATCAGGTGGCCATGGAGATATACATAGTTTATTGGGACCATCTCACAATGGGCCAATTGGAAGCCTGAACTCAAATTATGGAGCATCTAGCCTTGTAACAACCAACAGACAAGCATCAATGGTAATAATATTTTTAAACATGTATATATTTATGCAAAGCAATTACAGCTGATGCATTTAAATTATCAGAGAGCCTAGTGAGTTAAAACTGGACTGTAAGATTAATATTTATCAAGAAGAAACTACTCTTGAGATTCTTGTAGAGGAAAAGATGGCAGACAACTTGCACCTGCTATGGGTTTCCAATTAGGATGTTGGTGTGGGGGTGGGCAGAAATGAGAGGGAGGAGAAAGATGGGGAAACTTAGACTTTGGCCTGGTCAGTGGTCCATAAAATCCTGCTGTGACCATATGCAGAAAGCTGAAACTTTATGCTGAGAGCATTTCAGCTTATACATGCATTTTTTCCAGATGTGTAATAATTGGCAGAACAGTTTTCTCCTTGAAATGGTGAATAGGGAGATTGAATGGGAAAAGCAGTCAAGAAGGACTGAATTTCAAGTGTTCTGGTCTGGAAAAGCTGTTTATTGTAAATTGGAACTAGTCTTCAATAGCAGATGCTGGCAGAGGACTGGGAGGAAGCTGTTGGAATGTTGGAACCACAGTGTGCGCAGGCTCAAAATCTAAACTTTTTTTTCTAAATGAAAAGGAGTTTGAGCACAGCTGTAGTGTAAGTAACAATGAAGAGGAAACAACTTTTAGATTAATCCCCAAGAAGAGTGAAATAATTCAATCCATCCCTTTTAGTTTCTTTAAAAATGTGGCCTGTTCTTAAAAAATGTAGTTGAACTTTTTGTAGATCAGAAGTATGTTAAAAGCATTATACAGTAAACAATCTATTTGTAGCATTCTTAACTTCACTTTTTCTTCCTTTTCATTCCTCCCTTCTCAAACATGCTTAAAGGAAAAAGATCTTTTTAAAATGTGCTTATTTTAGTGGTGCCATGTGTTTGCATGTTTACAGCATAATTTTAAAGACCAGTTACATGCTGTGAAATTTTCTGTTATAAAACAGATTCACAGCTGGGTGCTGTGTGATCAAGGCAAAATTTCACCTATCATCAAAATAATTAGGTACCCCAATTGCTGAAGGGTTTGTATTCTATAAAACAGAATTAGTTCCAGGCTCTCCCATTTGCACGTCACACATCCATTTATATTAATTTGAGAACCACTGCAGTAAACATCAAAAAGGACTGGTTACTTTCTATAAGCTGCCTATGTCTGGGGGTTTTTGGGGAGGGGAGTACTTTCCAAACACATATCCAACTTTAGGTTCCTATACAAGTTCACAGTTACTTCTTGTAATGAAGGATGTGATGCATAAATACTTTAGAATTTTTTTTTAATACTGCCTCATATTTAATATTTAAAGAATACTGTTAAAGGGAAAGTTTTACTGAAGACTGAAATTTATTCATACAAAGGAAATATTTTTTCCTTAGGTCTTAATGATGTGGGCTAAAGTGAGTGACTGGAATTGCAGTGACAAAATTGTTTTCTGACTTGTGGAACCTTCCAATACTGCTAAGCCAGATATGGTCAAATACAGATAGTGCCAAAATGTACATAAAAATCTCTGCTTCTCTTTTAAACTAAGCTATGAAAAATACTTTATCAACTCAGTTTTGATTAAAATAGGTGACAGTGGAAAATGGCTCTCCAGAATGAATAAAGGTTCCTTGATCGGCTGTAGTTTAATGTAGTTGTGTAACTTCAATGTAATATAGACTTGATTTATCATCTAACAATTGATCTGCCATTTTGATTAGGAAAATAATAATAAAAAAAATTAGCTTTTCTATTTCACCCTCACTTGTGTGAAACAAGCTTGCAGAACAGTTTTAGCTTGAAAAGTGAGTCAGCTGAAGAATTCCTTGGATTAACCTTAATTTTGTTACATCAGAATAATTGGCTTCAACAAAAGGTGTCCAGTCATGGCCTTGCCCAGTCCCCAAAGAGTGGTGCCCTTTGACATCATTTGTGATCGCAGGAACTCAGCATGACTTAGGATGGAGTCCTGAAATATGTACAGAGCAGAGGTTGGCACATCTGGCTGTGGTGAAAACTCAATGGTTTATTAGTGACGGTTACATGTCAGTAATGCCCCACAAGTATGAGGTGTAATTCTTAGGAGGAATTCTTAATTCAATAATCAATTAATTTCAAACTGTACTTATTTACTACTTGTTTTTCTTGAAAGAGTAAATGTAGGAGAGCAGAGAATTTGACACACAACCTGAACTATAAGATCTAGACTTTGTTCAGGAATTAAATACTACTTTACTTTAGAGAACCTCTAATAGATTTTAAGAAAATAATGAGTATTGGCTGACATAGTGAGAAATGTTAACATTGATAAGGGTGTTTGCCTTTTTTTGTTTGCCATGCTCACAAGGCTTTTTGGTCAAGAAATGTTAATTGGGATTCAGCATTCAATGAAACTTCCTTGTCGAGGGAGGGGGGATCTTTACACAAAACATTTTTGTTCTTTAGGAAAAAAAATAGAAAATAAAAAATTAAATTGAATTTCCCTTGAAGAAGATGATGTTGGCAGAAGGAGCTAGGAAATGAGTAATTTAACTCCTTTTTATGTAATTAGTGTAACCAGACATGGTTTTATTTTAACATTTGCTTAATTTTTGAGCCAGATTTATTTTAAAACTCTAGTTGACTTCATTTCCTGCTTGCTCTGAATGGTCTTGTTTTCTTTTTAGCTGGGCTGGCCATTAGACTTATTCAAATAGATTTTTAATATCTCAAACTCATCAAATATTTGCTAAGTGGCCTTTGAAGTTGATTTGTATTTTATTTCATGTATTATTGAAAAGTTAGGAAGTAATACTCTTTTTGTTCTTATTCAAGCTGCTTTTTATTTGTCATTGTAATACAATGGAAAAAGAACAGCCTGAATTGATTAAAAATAAATAAATAAAAGGACTGGAAACTCAGTTAAGGATGAAACTCAATCCTTAAGTCGCAGGGTTTTTTCCAGGTGTAACAGGAATCTAAGAGAACTGGTGATCTCCCTCTTTTTACCCTGTGTCTGCTGTAGTATAGAAGCACAAAAGGGCAGTTTAAGCTGCTTTGCAACACCAACCTCTGCTCTTGCTCAAAGCCCTTTCGGTGATGTTAGCATTTCTCTGCAGAGGTTATATTCCCACTGAACAATTTTGAGCTCTCTGAAGTGTAAAAATCTTTATTCCAAAGCCCTTTTCATTGTCTTATGTTCACCTTATTTAAAATTATGTTAATAACCATGGCCAAATTCGCCAGCTACTATGGCTTGAAAAATGCATGTATTTTTAAATATGCTTAGATAAGTCCTAAAGCAAGTATGAACAAAAGACTGTTTGGGGGTTTTTTTTCCCAGTTCTCAAAAGTTTTTATTGCTAAGAGTTCAAAGTTAATAATCAGACTGAAGTGTAAGATGCAGAACCGATGTTAACAGGACAAAGGTTGTCCTTTCCCCAGGCGCCGCTCTCAGTTCTCTTCCATGCAGTAGTGAGTTATCAGTGGCCGTGTTTTGTCTAGCTTTTATTTAGTTGCCAAAATACTTCACTGGTTTTCTGGTTTCAGATCCCAAATGTTATCACGTAAATCAACGGAAATAAGCTCTGCACTCATTTTTTTAAAAAACTTACAGGTCTGAGAGTGGCTGCAGATTGTCCTACCTGCAAGTCTTTCTTGAAAGGCATGAAAATAAATACAGTTCACCTGGTAAATTACAACGGCTCAACAGTCTTACACGCAGGACTGCTGTTTTTCTCCAACTGTGATTAGCTAGAACTTCTTTGATTTGATGAGAATCCTAAACGTGTATTAGATTCTCATTGTATAGAGAAAGCACACAAAGGTGAGGGATGCAAATACGTTTTTAACACTTGCAGTGTCTACGCTGATCGCTTCTCAGATTTTTCTAAAATATTTTGCCTTTGCAACGGAAAACTTTAGTTTTATGCTGCGTGTGTGAGCCCAGCCTTGCCGTTTGTCTTCCATTTTGTGTTGCCGAGGAGCGGGTAGGGTTTGCGGAGGCGGGACGAGGAGGGTGAGGCTGGCTGCGCCGAGCGGGCTGGTGCCGCCGGGTCCTGCGGGCCGGGGCGGGGCGGCTGCTGGCGGGTCACACCGA